TTTTGGAACCGGGGATCAAACTCAGGACCTTGTGCTTTCGAGGCAGGCAGCAGCACCACTGAGCTAAATCCCGGCCCTATTTAATTTATTTTTTAAGACAAGGTCTCATTCTGTAATTCAGGCTGGCCTTGAACTCACTGTGTAGCCCAGGTGGCCTCAAACTCATGGCACTCCTCCCTCATCCTCCCAAGTGCTGGGATTACAGGGGTGTGCCACCATGCCTGACTTCCCTTATTAAATTTAGAAATATTTAATATGTATTAAACCTTGGAGAATTTTTACATGGGTAAATTATGTCCATCATAGACACATTTAATAAGTACTTACAGATTGAATGGCCTGTTGACTGATGGCATATGTACTATTGTTTTAGGTATTTGTTGTATGTATGTATGTATGTATTTTGGGGGTTTTTTTGGTAACAGGGATTGAACTCGGGTCCTTGCGCTTGCCCAGCAGGCGGAGAAACCACCGAGCTAAATCCCCGGCCCGGTATTTGTTGTATTTATTGGTTGGGTTTTCTGTAGTGCGAAGAGGCACAGTCTTTACATTTAAACTGTAGAATTGGATTTTGTTAGTATGTTTCCCCATCTCCATCTTTTATTATAAGTCCAGTAAGTCAAATTACTAGATTATTAAGTAAAATTGTTATTATATTTGGTAGAGTTTTCCCCTACAAAGGACTTGAGAAATGGAGTAGTGTTGATACACTTTTTGGAAAAGATTTATTGGTTAATGTTTTCTGTAGTGAAAGGGAGTCTCAAGGGAAACTCCACTGAGAGTAACAAGGGAGCCTCAAAAACTACCTGCTCTCACTCTCTGGTTTTCATAATGGTTTAGCAAGAGAGTTGATGACTAATTCTACTTCCTGATCCCCTTTTCCCTCAAAATTTGCAGTTATCATTTTGAAGCTCCTGGGGTCAACTCTCATTCTTAAGGAAATTTCCATGGTGTTGCAGTAGTTGGATGTGGATGTCTGGATTCTGAGAACATAGATCTCCCTACGTAGAAGTAAACCTGAGCAGGAAAGTATAGGCACAACTTAAGTCATTCACATAGAACACATAATAGGTAAATTATAGGTGGTGGAGGTAAAATTTTCCTTAACCAGTCCTTACCTCAAGTCAAATTTTAGTTGGTACTGGTTTCTCTATCTCTACCAGTATAGTTGTTCCTAATTCTGCACTAAGTTCAACCTTGTTAATTTAGAGATAAAACACCTATTCCTGAAGAATTAAGTACGTAGTAATTTTTTTTTTTTCCCATTTACTTGAGACATAGTCTTACTATGTAGACCAGGCTGGCCTCAGGAGGCTTTCTTCAGTCTCCTGAGTGCTTGGCTTATAGGCATTCGCTACTACACCTAGCTTAGTAATACTTTCTTATACTAAAGAAAAGTGATTTTTAAGAAAGTATTGTAATTATTGTGAATAACACAATTAGTGATTAAATCAGTTATCAATACCAGTAGGTATCAGCTGTAGACTCATGAACTACAGAACACCTTTGATCCCTATGCTTGCTAATTACTTCCTCCTCTTCCATGCATTTCTTTCAAATCAGAAAACTTTACAGTAATTTATACTATTTGTATGTTGGATAGCAGTGGTCCATCTTTTTGAAGTTTAGTGTGTTTTTATATGTAGATACAATTTTTTTACATATGCATATGTGCATAATACCAAAATCTGTGTTAATACTAAATAAATTGATAAAAGTAATTCAGGAAAATGTTTCTTTAAGGAACAAGTACTTACTAGTGGTGACCTAAGTTTTATGTCTGTGTCAGCTGCTAAAATATAACCTCCAATTCTTGAATGTTACCTATAATTAAATAATTTTTTGATGATAGTGTGATAGCATACTGGGAGCCACACTTTAATTTCAGTTCAGGTTCCTTTCGCTCTCTTTTTTTTTTTTGGTGTGATACTGGTTATTGAACCCAGAATTACAATATTTTCACTCTGAGCTACATCCCTAGTCCTTTTTAGTTTTGAGATTGGGCCTTGCTAGGTCTAAATTGCAGTCCTTTTATCTCTGCCTCCCTGGTGCTGAGATTATAGGCATATACCATCCAGTTCTGATTCTTAAAATATTATTGGTTTCCTCATCTGACTTAAAAATCTGAGTGCCCTTTTAAATCTGTTTGTCAGTCTCATTAAATAACATCTATGATGATCAGTTTGTCAGTAGGGAAACCTTGTAGAAAATAACTTAGCCATCTTTCTGACTTGCTTTTAATTGGAATTAAGCAAAAGTATACATTTCTTTCCATGTTTAGTATATATGTTGCCGAAGTGTGCATAAAATTATACATTTCTTAATGTGAAGTTGCTATTGCTTTGGCCTGTTATCTCTGTAGGAAAATTAGAAAACTAAGAGATTTGCAAGAAGATGTATGTGAGGTTTGAAAGAGGATACTGTAATCTTAGGAGTCAGAGTCTTTGTTCTTCATGGCTAATTGGCTGTGCCTCAGTCCTGTATGCTTTTTCTGGTCTATAAAATAACATTTTTCCAGCTCTTGACTTGATTGGAGATTCTGGCTCTAATATTCATTTATATACATCTTTGTTTTACTTAGATTTGTAGCCAAACATCTTGAATTTGAACCTCAGCTTCCCTGTTCATGCACTGTTCATTCTTGGACCAACTCAGCTAGTAGCTCTCTCAGTTTTATTTGAGAAATTAGTATATTGAATTACATAGGGTATTTTTTGATGTTACAAGACATAATGCATGTAAAGGTGTTACTATGTGAAAAGTGGTAGTGACCTACTGATAGACACAGTAACTGTCAGAACCTAGAAAATACTGTATTGGTATTGTCTTCTAAGTGGAACGATGATTCATATGAGTCTCATTTGGATAGTCCAATGATAGTTTATTGTTTCCTCAAGTAATGACCCATAATTGAGATTATATATATGTATGTGTGAGATACAGATATAGATATACGTGCTTTATTTTTTGCTTTCTTTAAAAAAATGACAAATACTGTGTTTTAAAGGAGATAAAATAGACCACCAGGGAATGTACATTCAGAAGATGAATCAGTAAATTTCTAAACTACCATTATCAACATTTTCACTTGCAATCCTTAAAAATAATTATAGCATAATTTTATTTTTGTAGAAATAATCATTGGAAAATATTAGGGAAACTAACTGGCTTAAATAGTAAGGCCATTGAAGTATTCAAAATATAGTAAATCCAGATTTATGAACATTTGAGTTGAGAACTTTCACAGGTGTATAAGATTCACTTTGTTGGATTACGAACAAATCCAATTTACAGGTGTTGTCTTAGAATGGAACTCATTCGTAAGTTGAGTACTTACTGTACAAAACACCTAGGACACAAGTATTGTTAGACCTAAAATCATACAACTCCTTTTTTTTTGTTTTGGTACCAAAGATTGAACTCAGGACCTTGCGCTTGCCAGACAGGTGCTGTGCTGCTAAGCTACATCCCTGGCCCTGTACAACTGTATCTATATTTTCATTTGCAAGGATTTTTTTTTTTCCTATTGTCATTCTTGAGTACATTTGCCATGACTACATAGAATGTTGCTTTGTATTGACTTGGAAATGCTAAATAGTTTTGATGAAAATTTGAAGGTTTATGCAAATTTATATTTGATTAATTTTTACTTATGATTACTTCGGTGGAAATAGCATTAGGGCAGGTTAACTAAGGAGAACTTCGTTTATGTAGAGTTACCAGTTTTCATAGAAATTTGAAGCCAACCGATACTTCCTTGGTAGATTTTAGGTATGTGAAGTCACTTTGTCAGTATAGAAGCAAAAATTATGCATAAAAATCAGATGACCTATTTTGGATGTGAAAACTTAAAAAGACTTTCAGATGCTGTTTCTCTTGGCAAGTTTTTCACAATTTAGTAGAGACACTTGTCACTAAAATGTTGGTTTATCCTACTACATTCTGTAAAATCTAGTACATACTATGAAACGTTGGAGTTGAGACTGTATTTTTCTTTTCTGAGCTCATTTTTTAAATTATCACATTAATGAGTGAATCTTATTTTAAATGGCAGTCATTTTGGTAGTTATAGATTATATTTGTATTCAATATAAAAAAAAGTCTTGGCAAAGTTTATTCCCATTTCTTCCTTCATTTCAACTATTCAGCCTCCTTGGGGCTAGCATTCACATTTTTATCTACTAATATTTGGGAAAGATGAGTAATGAACAAAGCAGATGCAGTTCCTGTTCTCATGAAGCTTAAAATCAGTAGAATGTTGAATACATCTACAAATTGGATTGTAGGACACTTTGTGTTTAATAGTCTTGTTGTGCTTAAATGCTTTTTAAAAAGCTTAATATTTTGTTGGCATTACTCTATTGACGTCATTTTTTTTTTCCCTTTGTTTTGGTACTGGGGATTGAACTCAGGTACTTGCACTTGTGCTTGCGAGTCAGGCTGTGGAACCACTGAGCTAAATCCCTGGCCCATGATTGTTTTTTTTAATTGCCTTACTCTGTTGACATTCCTTTGTGTACTTGCAGTCCCAAAGTAGGTAACCAGTTTTATGAATACTGTCATTGAAAAAAACATTTTTTAGGGCCAGGTATTTAGCTCAGTTGTTCTGCTGCCTGCCTCGAAAGCAGAAGGACCTGAGTTCGATCCCTGGTACCAAAAAAAAAAAAAAGAAAGAAAAGAAAAGAAAAATACATTTTTGAAAATAGACATTTCTATAACATGGTTTGTTAATGAATGGATGTATCTTTAGACAGTGTGTCTTTTAAATAAAACCTAATAATCATGTGTAGAAAATACAGTAAAAACAGCTTACGTATAAGCTTCCACATGGCATACTTTTAAAATTTGTACAAGTAGAATACTTTGCAGTAGTGACCCAACA